AGGAGACACATGTTCCTGGCTGTTGCTAGGTGGCAAATGCTCTTAAAGATTTTGCAGGCTAGAGATTTCTTCAAACCTTTAATCCTCCATATTTATTTTATAGCCCACAGGAATGGTTAAAAAAAAAAAAAAAAAACAACAAAAACACTCAGTGCTAGGATGATAGAAGATTTGAAAGAAAGAAAATATTTGTTGTCAAAGCTTAATCCAATCCCTAACTGCAGGTCAGTTTAAGACTTTCACGATATAACGTATCTGCATATTGTTAAGCTGCTCGTACCTTCTTCTAAAACTAGTGTGCTAGCTCTTGTTTAGAACAGGGTCCTAGATGTAATGAATAAGTCTCAGCCATAGTCCTATGAAAAATGTGGATGTATGAAAGAACTTCTCAGAGTGCGAGGAGAAAACCCCAAATTATTGCTTAGCATCTAGGAACTGATCATTTAGGAGTTGATTTTGCCTGATACGTTACAGCAGCACTTAGAGTTTTGAAGAGTATATTAACGCAAGGACAAATCTATATAGTGTTAGTCTGAAAAAGGTCCTGTACCCTACCATTCCTAGGGTATGATTTTATAAAACTGCATTTTACTAACAGTTCAAGATGAAATGGTATTTTTGAGATGTCCCTTTTGAAATAAGGCCAAATTCACAGCTGAATCTAAACTGATGAGACTTTTCACCTCTAAAAGCTGTCACACCAATGTCAGTAAGTGTTAGACAAATGTCCATATACCGATAATATTTATTAAAGGACAGCACAAGGAAACTCTAAATAAAGGAAAAAATACCAGGCTTGATTACAGAACACCTTCAGCTTCTCCTCAGTACCTCATATCTGTGTCAAAGTCCCAAGTCCCTGACCGTCACACAGACAAGACCTCGTGAAGGTAGTTCCTGCCGCTGGAGAACACTGAAATCTCTGACTAGCATAGTACTTGCTTCCTCTTACACGTCTCCCTCACAGCCTGGCGCTTATTCTCACATCACTTGCTGCGCCGTGCTTCAGCCTGCCCTTTTCTCATTTATTCCTACTCCTTCCATTTGGCCCCCATACTAGGCTCTCAAAAAACAGTCCCGCTCAATGTACGTGGAGGTTTCTGAAAATTTAGTTGTTAGTCTCCAAATAAATTCTACAAAACGTATCCCAGTTTTCAGCCATTTATTCTTCAGCTAAATTTCTCTGCAGCGTTTCTCTGACTGTCCCATTCCATTTACATACATGTCATTAAATTTCATCTTTGTGAGCCAGCCTGGATCTTCTCAGCAAAACAATGGCAAGAATTATTCAGTTTTAACAAATGACTTTTTTTCCCTAACCTCACCTTTTTTTAAACAAAGCTATGCCATTTCTTCTGAAAGCTAAAAGAACAAATCATTCTGAGACAAACATCTGTCGGAGAACCACACCAAAGTTTTGAAGTTCAACATATTCATATGCAACCAAAAGCATGGGTCTTACAATAGAACGTCTTGGGCGACTCTAGCAGTATCCATTGGTGTACATCTTTCCTTGCCAATAAAGTCTTATGTTATCATCAAAAAAGTAAAATCTTAGAGGATTGAAAATAGTTCCCTCACTCTTCCCTCCCTCAGACACGCATCTGCTACAACGGTAGGTGGCTTGGGTAGGAAACATCAGTGAAAAGGTAGGATGTATTCATCAGACCCCGATTTTAATGATCTTTCTTTAATTCTGATCGTTGACTAAAGCTTCCGCATTCTTTGCATTCAGCATGTCCCAGGAAATTTATGCTTCATACCTAGATGTATTCTCAAAAATAAGCTACTCATTGAAGAAGTCTCTTGATGGCACTAGGATTTATGAAGCATGCTGCGTCCTTATACTTCTTGGAGAACTAGCATGGGTAACTGTATTCTTACATGCTCTGTAAAAGAGGCAGTCAAGCCACGGTGGGTTATCAATACTGACCATCCAAACAAGGTTTCTCATTTTCTTTGTGACAGTCATTAGGTAACAGAAGCGTTTTGGAGGGATACAACATTTGGTAGCATGGCCAAATAGCTCTTACTTGCTGAAGACTTTGACAGTTACCACCTTGTAAACTCAAACTCCTTGAAATCACCCTCTGGCTTTACAGGCACACAGGCATTCTGAATAAACATTCACAACAAAAATAGACACTACCTGTATTCCCTTGAATATGTCTATACATTATTTTTACATCCCCCTTCTTCTTCATAGTTCCTGTAATAGCTGCTGCGATCCCATTGTGAAACTGGCAATTCACAAAATGACAAAAATATATAGTCACTCTATAGTCACATAAAATGCTCTCCACGTAAAAAAAGTAATGTTATCTTTGTAAAGTGTTCTACTATGAGGTAAACTACTATGAAGTAAACATAAAAGATTGTTTGGTTTTATAAAGAAGTGTAATGTACTTTGGAGTTAATAATCAGGATTAGACATTTCAAGGAATGCTTGCCTCCCATCTTTTGACATCTCTCAAAAGCCTAAAATGTTTAGTCATCTTTAAAATTACTGATTTCACAAGTTGCCTGCAAAACATCCCCACTGAAACAAAAAGTATGACTTTGTCAAGTTTTAGAGGAAACTGGAGGTAATCAAGGGAAAAGTTTAATCTTAGAGTGGATTTCTAAATTTCAACTGGAAAGATGATTGATGTGCTTTCCCCTCCCACACTGTGCTAACTTGATTCTCACCTGGAGGAAAGAGAAAGAGAGCAATCTGACACTTAGCCCTCTCAACTTTGCTTTCCAGACTGCAGATGGGAGATAAGGAAGCACTGCTTCCTCTCACCCCTGGAAATTTGGGATGCTCTCTATGGGAGGATAAAGAGCAATTACTCTTGGAATTCATCCTCAAAGTGTTATTAATTTAGATAATTCCTATGTCTTATCTGATTCATTATAAGCATGCATGGAAAAGTGCTCGCTATCAAAACTTACTGAAAAGCCCTCTGATCACATCAGCTGCCCTTTACCAGTATTTCCTTGCTCTCCCTGCAGTTTGTGTTTCCTAGACCAACTGCCTTTTGTGGCCAGAAACTGTTAGGCTCCTCTTCACAGTACACAAGTTCAAACCTGTCTTGACTGGTTAAATGGCATCTGCTTTGCTCCGTGTGCCCCAACAGCACATACACAACTATAACAACCTGTTTCCTAAGGGTTAGACACAAGGTTTCTTCCAGTGGAAAAGGTTTCTGCCCTTGTCACCGACCTTATGCCAATCAAAATGACCAGATCAGCAAAAACATAATTTAAACTCTTTAAGCGTTACCCATGTCATCTTCCTTTAAACAGTCCAGGGAACATAAACACCTTAGCTGGAAGGTAAAAGCAGGTGCTAGCTAGTCCATCAAACTGAGGCTGACTGACATCCTCTTCAGACAAGCCATGGTGAAGGTAGAATAGGATGGGCTTACTCATTAGTACGTTTCATATCATTCCCAGCAAAGCTAAGAGGCCAGCATCCATGGTCAGAGGCCTAACTGCGCATAAAGGCTCAAAACAGCCCTCCTTTTCAGGAGCATTGTCACTGTCAGGGTGTGGGGGACATCAGGTTAGAGAAAAGTCTGAGAATTTTGGCGCAGCACTGTGCTGGATAGTAACGTTTTCTCCTACAAAAGGTGCTTCAGATAGGAAAGACAAAGGTGAAGAGCTAGGTGAGGGAACACTGGTTTACCTTCTGTGTGGGACCCTGTCACCAGTCCCAGAATCCAAGCTGTTGCGAGATCATGGACAGAGGAGCAGAAGGTGTCATATCCACGAATGAAGTCTGGAAACAATATGAGGAGGAACAGATTGACACGTTCATAATGCTATGAGGATATGAATCACTTCCTTCCCCTTGACCACTGATAAAGTTATGAAGTTAGAAATGTAGTCCATTAGGCATTACTCTTGTCCTCTACCCTTATACTTCAAATGCTTTTCAGATACAATGCAGAGCTAACCAGTGGTAACTGTCTAGAGACTGCCATGGCCAGTGGTCCTCACGTCCTACAGGCACGAGGGACTTTCTTTTTAGGGTGATGGGCTATTGCTTTCCTGAATGCATCATGTGGGCTGAAAATGATAGTATGCAAAATATTCTAGTGCTGTGCATTGCACATTTAGAGTGCTCCCTCAGAAGTATGTGTTGGCATGCCAAAGGTGTGGTTGCAATCTATCACACTGGCTCATTCAAATTGTCTTAACATAATTAAAAAGCACAATTAAGCTCCAGGCTATCATGTTTGAAGATCTCCTCAAGGCGTCTTCAAAGACGTTAGGCTGGAGCATGCTACAGCTTTTCAATTGTGTTAAATTAAAACCATCACAACATGCATTCTGTTTGCCCAGTGCAGGACCCAGAAGCAGAGCATGTGGTTTCCATGTTTAAACTGGAAGCACCTGAAGAGGAGAAGTGGGAGAACTAGACAGGGTTGTCACTAGCACCACCCACTAGTGCTGCTTCTCTAGTGAAAACAAGAAAACAAAAAAACAAAATGAAAGCAGGAAAAGAGAGTGCTAGATTGGAAATAGGACTTCTGTCTGCAGAAAGGCATTGCGAACTTCCCACCATTTGTCAATCTGTGTCGAAAATTATTTTTAAACTGCTATTTTTGCTACCATTTTTATACCGAACTTGTTTTCTTTTTCAATGTGAAGTTAAAATCTTCCAAATTCATCGTTAACCTCTGCTGCTAACTCTGCTTTGAATCAGAAAATGCCATCCCTGGGACGTCTGATCCGTTAGTGCATTGAAGAAGGCAGACAGCTGTCTTTGAAATTAAGTGATGCAGACTTGGCCGACCACACCAAATTATAAGCCACATGTGCATCCAAATGTGCATGTGCTTCTAGTTAATTCTGATGTGAATCATAGATTCATATCTGTAGATGTTGATGACGTAGATAATTTATAACATGGTAACGTTCATAAAATAGTCAATGAGTGGGAATTAACAATTCTGAAGGAGGAAACACCTTCGAGTAGAAGGGGGCAGGGGGAAGAGGGCAAAGGAACGCACTTGTCTCTCTCTGGTATTACTGACACTTTGTCCGGTGTATGCTTCAGCTCATATGATCCCGAAGTCTCCCGTACCAGCGTACAGGCCTGGGGAGGCTGCAACCACACCTGACCTAGGGACTCCACCAAACTGTAACAGAAAACAACTGTTTTCAAAGGCTTAGAATCTGGGTACTGAGAAGTAAAGGGGAAAAAAATTACCTGAAAAAGAATAAAAGGTGTTGTAAGAAAATGAAAATTTTAGGAGAAAAAACCCAAGAAATCTCAAGTGTGCTCTAAACAACTTTGATCAAGCATGACTAGCATTTATTTCAAGTCTACACCACCATTTAGATGTTTTTGTACCATGGCAGATTTAAGCTTTCAGTTCTCTCCTGTAACACTTGATGTTATATGAAATGTCATTTTAGAAAATACGAGACCATGTTGGAAAGCAATTTCCTGAAGAGCTACGAACAGGGTCATATCGTTATCTAGGGTTATACTTGCAGTTCTGGCAATTTTCTTTTTTAATAAATATGGATAACTCCATAGGACTCCAAAGGACAACAAATGCTGTCCTTTATCTTATGGCTAGGTTTCAAAATTGTGCAAAGGATGCTGTCTGCAAAAGAGGTCAGAAATCTTTTCAAAGACAGAAAACGATACAAAGTCCTTGATCTAACAATGTAAAAAAGCCAAAGACACATTTACAGAGTTGTGTTGTCTGGGAGCTGGGCAGTCAAACACAAATCACCAGTTCTGACCAGGAAACTAAGTAGGTATGTTAAAGCTGTTTACTAGCCCAGATCCTACATAGGGCTTGTTGGCTCACGCACAGCGCTGCACGGAGTTACCCCGGTTCTGGATGAGAGCCGCTTTGCACCTTGGTGGTTTGGATCAGAGCCAGAAGAGCTCCGTTCTGTTTCCACAATTTTGCGTAGACAAGCCTGTGGAAGAATCAGCTGTATCAAATGCATACAGCCAAATCAGACGACTAGGCATTCGTGCATTGATACTTCTTGAATACAGGTTACAAATTAATGTGGGGAAGTGAGTTTAGCCTATTCCAGAACCAAAAGAAAAACACCCTTTTATGCCTTTCGAATTACTTTTGCCGCCTTCTTGCTAGATCCATCACGGAGGGGCTGCTTTAGCTCCAAACCTGGGCAAGACCAGACGCAGGCGGCGGCTGGTCTCTGAGAGCAGCCCGTCTGCCAGGTGCAGGACACAAACCCCTGAGGGGCAGGAGGTGGGGGGTTTTGCCCTTCACTGGGAGGCTGCTAAGAGAAAAGCCGGTGGAGGTTAGTTTAGGACAGCTCATCATGCCGCCCAGATGCTAGAAAGGACGCGAACCTTTGGACGTGATTCCAATGAAGGAGAGCGCGGCCGCCTGACTGACTCTCCCTTGCCCCCCACCCGCGTCCCTGACTTCCCGACTGGGACCACCCGTCCCCAGGCTCCCGCT